ATAAGTAAGTTAAACCTATTAATCTTGGGATGTCAATACACATGTTAATCTCCCATGAATAGAATTAATAGGTATTTAAAGGTAAAAATAGGCGACCTAACCTTACTTTTAAATAAGTATTTAAATATACATGTATATTTAAATTATATTTGAGTACAATGAAATCAAATTAAACGATGCCAACAGGTTTGTTATTATTCTGTACAATAAATACGTGAAACGAAGACACGCACGTATTTCTATGGGAGAATAATAATCAGCCCCCGCAATTTATACACGAGAAGTTTTAATAATTCATTTTTATGCATAGGACGATATGCGGAACACCGAATTACATCGCGCCGGAAGTGTTGTATAAGCAAGCGTACAGTTATGAGGCTGATGTTTGGGCTCTCGGATGCATACTTTACGCCCTGTTGGTAGGGCAACCACCTTTCGACACGGCAACACTCAAGGAAACATACGCTAGAATATGTAATAATCATTATCGAGAAGTGGACGACACGATAGCGAGTCGAAGCGGACAAGATCTCATCAAGTGGCTTCTACAGCCGAATCCTGAGCTCAGACCCTCTTTGGAAAGGGTGAAGGAACACGCTTATCTCACCAAGGAATATGTACCATCTACCTTGCCGCGTATCTCTTGCTTCCAAATGCCACGTGCCTCTATAATCGAAACTATGCCGTCGCCTTGTTCGAATTCTACAACTTCTAGAAACCAGAAACTTAACCAGACTCATGTAAATATCTAATTTACATCGATTTTATAATATTTTTGTATAATTCCTTAACATAAAAAATGAACGAAGATTTGTTAATACTATTTTATAACTCACAAAACACATCAAGTTAGAAACTGTATTTTTTACTTATTTTGCAAACGCTTATTTTGTTCACTTACGAATTGTAAACTAATGTAAATTGAGAGTAAATTACTTACACTTTTTAATAGAAGATTATCTATTGTAAATAAAACAAAAACATTTGATTAGTTGTGTGAGTTATTGAATAAAGGTTGTTTCCGAATTGTGAACAGGAATTAAACAAAATCATAGAATTTGCTACAAATAATAGAAAGTTTTAATAAATTATTTACATTAGCAATAATTCTTTGTATTATTATAACAGGATCACACAATTCAGCAATGTCAACAGCAACAGTCACAACAACAAGAGCAAGAGCAACAACAACAGCAACAGCAACAGCAGCAGCAGCAACAACAGCATCAAACGAATCGATCTCAGAAAAGTATACGAAAAGGATTGAAAGTGATCAGCTGGTTAGCTAGAAAGCTTCGAAAAGTTCCAAAATTCAGAAAAAGATTGAGCAGCGTTCTTTGCCCGGATCATAAGAAACTGGGATATATGGCGCAAAGTATGCAAATGCATCAGGCACTAGAAAACTGTATTACAGAAATAAAATGTAAAATTAAGTTGCGTAATCATCCACCTGTAAGGAATGTTGTACCTCTGTTCATTACGAAATGGATCGATTACTCGAACAAATATGGCCTAGGTTTTCAACTTTCTGATAAGTCTGTTGGAATTCTCTTCAACGACCACACGAAAATTAGTTACACCCATGATAGAAGGTCAGCCTTTTTCTCTTTGATAAGTTTATATGTTTAACCCTTTGAAGTAAACTCTATTTCAAGACAAACATTGAATGTAACATTTGTGATTTGTATCTGTATGTACTTTACTCATACATTGTTTAAATTCTGCATGACAGCATATACCAAAGTAAAGAAAGAACAGCTAAATACTAATTAACCGAGGTGAAGAAAACCAATTCTTTGAAACACTTTAAAGTTAAAAAGACAACATAGTTGATGCTACTATTTAAAAAATCATACTGCAAAGGGTTAAACATCCTTCTAGCCTGTATTTTAACTTATTTACAAACATACTTCCTTTCGCAAAGAAGGGTGGAGTATGTGGCAACTGATGAAGAAGTAACAAGATATCAGAGAGAAGAAGATGTTCCTCCTGCTTTGCAGAAGAAACTTGTATTGCTGCAACGTTTCACGCAGTATATGGATAAATTTATGACTGAAGGTAAATGACATTGTACATAGGACATCTCAGGATTTTTACTGTTTCTCAAAGTAAATCCAATGTAATAAAATTTTATATAGCATACAAATTATCCCTTCTTCAATAATATGGAAGAACATTATTGTATACTATTGAATACCTATTGTATACCAATGATTAAACGTTATTCGTCAATTGTGTTTCAGGTGGTGAAATTAAGAAACAACGAACCACATCAAAGCAGTCAAAGAACATTTGTGTACCACGAATGAGAAAATGGTTAAGGACTGATAAAACCATTGTGATGGAGCTAACGGTACCTCTTTTACAAGTAAACTTCTTTGAAGATCACACTAAATTAGTAGTTTCACAAGAATCCCTTCATAAGGGATACTTAATTACATATATCGACACCAGTAGGCGTACGTCTTCTTACTGGTTAAACGATATACGTGATTTTGGCTGTACAGCAGATCTCTATGAACGCTTATATTACGTCTACAAAGTGTCCAGAGAATTCGCAGAAATGCATGACAATACGATTGCTTGACCATCCAAGACACGCCCCAAGGTGGGTTATTCGTTAAAAGATTGAAGTTTGTTTTGCATAGATATCTATGTTTCGTTAGCTGCACTCGTACAAATTTTAATATCTTTCTTTAGTTTTCACTTTGAGAAACTCTCTAAAGTAATTATAAATTTGAGAATACAAGGCATAATACATTTAAAGGTATTATTTCTAGTAGTTTAGTACTTTGTTGTATAAATTTCGTTATAATGGATCAACATGTTAAAGTTATTTAAACTTACATATTTATGTTAATTTTTAAGAAATGTCAATGTTTTAGTAAGTTTATTTTGTTCTTACCCAAACAAATTTTTACGTTATTCAAAAATTGTTACATTGTACAAAGTTTTACGTTGAGCGAACAAAATGTATTTGCGACAAAATCAAATAGTGCAAAAATTTTATTTCGCTGCAAAGAATTCGTGAAACGTTGAAGGTATTTGATGAATATTAAAAGATATATGTATATTCCTATACATAATAGTACGTACACATATAAAATTACAAGGGTAGCTTCCCAAGTGTGTTAAATATCGATTTTGATGAAACTTCTGTAGGATCTATGTAGGTAGTTCTCAAAAAAATATCTAACCCGTATTCTTCCAACGCTCATGATTCATACAATTGGTGTTAAAACAGCCTCTAAAAATTAAAGTGGTAAAATTTATTTGACTGAATATCCTGTTAACCGTTATATTTTAACAAAGGTTCAAACCTAGAAATTTTTCGTTATTTCAACGGTGAATTTATCTGTACAGGGTGTCCCAGAAATCATGACAGGGATGATTCGTGAAAATCATGAACTGTCAAGGGGATGATTCCTTATGAAAAAATAAGTCGAAATTTCAGAGTAAAGTTTTTGCAGTATGAGGCATTGTTTTTGAGAAAAACGACTTTGAAAATTCGTCATCAAAATTGATAAGTGGACACTTGTAGGCCTTCCCTTGTTTGTAAAGTATGTTACGAAGTAGTGTTAACAAAAAAAAAACAAAAAAAAAACGTAAAAATAATACAGGGATGTTTGGTTATAGACAGGTACAATCCACGATTATTAATAACGATAACAGTTTATTTAATAATATAGACTCAACAGTAAAAATAACTCAATAACAACTAAAACTGTTCTCTATGACTGCAGCTTTATAATGTCTCTATAACTATTCTCTAATACTTTAACTCTATAACTTCTACAATTCTCGTTCTCTCAATCACTCTCGCTCTGTGATTCTCCGACTCTCAATGACCTGCACACGTCTCATTCACCCTATTTTATTCTTTCACTCACTCGTTCTCTCTTTCTCTATTTCTCTAGCTCTTTCACTCTTTCTCTATTTCTCTAACTCTTTCACTCTTCGCGTGTCCACATTCTCACAACGCATCCAGTCCCAAACACTCTTCATTCGCAGCTCTATCTTTCCAGTCCACACATTCTTATAACCTAGCATTCCTACAATAACAACTACTAATTTTACATTATACTAAATATTTTTGTATGATCAAGTTGGTTAAATAGAAGAAGATAGTTACTAGAGATATGAGATTGAAAAATATATAAGACTAAAAAAAATATAATTTTATATCTTTGCTTTACCGTTATACAGATGAAAAAGTCTGGTAATTATTATTAAACTGTTTTATGCACGAGTGCAGCTAAATGAAAACTATTGTTAAGTAGATGTACGAAAATGAGCAGTAGATACGTCATGTTCGAATTTTGCAATCGATTACTTTTTTTTTTTTATAAAATATAACAAAGTTGTGATATATTATTTTCTGTGTAAAGTTAGAGAAAACCAACAAGTAGATCATCGAGAAATGTTAGTTCAGACTTCCAAAACGAGGGCCATAGTTTTACCTCGTTTTTGTTCCTTAAATTTTTATATACTTTTAGTTGCAAATAACGAAATTCTAGAAATTAGACCCATTAGAAGGGGGTCTGCTTGAGGTTTAATTTCGAACAAATCGCGTTATTTAAGTATTGCAAGAATCCGTATTGCAGTTGTGTTATTGACAATATACGCACAGTGATTTGGCATTTTAGCGATTATTGAACGTGATGTCAGATATATTGCAATTTAAATTTTTCTCAGCAACACGATAATTTCATAAGTTTCGTGATAAATATTATAGTTACGATATTTCAATATTTTATATTGAATATTATCTTGTATGTTGGTTTTAGTCTAGAGACTATAATAATGAGAAAAAGAATTATTATACTGTCGAAATATCTATACCAACCAATAATAGAACATATTTCAATAATTTGTTCTGATATATACATAATACAACATAGTGCAAATATTGTTACTTGTGCAAAAAACATTAAATCAGGGTTGCTCAACTTTTTACTCTTGATTACTGTTGTTAATACATGTTAATAATAAATACAAAATAACGAAAAATTGTATCGATAATATAGGAGAATAATACAGAAAGAGTGGGATCTTATTTTAATACGCATTGCAGTAATAAAACAGTTTGTAATAAGAAAAATTAAACGACAAAAAAAGTACATAATATGTAGTTTAAAAAGGAACGTTCATTAAATAAGGCAGTGCCAAAACTTACATGCCTCTATTAAATAAAAGTCTATTTGTGATGCAAAGTAAAATTTGAAACTAATGTGTAGCAAAGAAATTTATGTTTTTAAGAAAACACTAGTACAAATAAAATAGAGCACAAGTTGGACAACTCTGGCAGAAATTATTCCAAATCGTACCTAACATTCGATACTGATATTGATGAAAACTTAATGCTAAAATTAAGTGGACCAATTTAATCGGCTTACAAATAACGTAACACACATTGTTTTCTTTAGAATGATCGTGATACGTATACTTTTCAGTTAATTTATCTTAGCTTACTTCCTTTACACAAAGTTATTTATTTTCTGAAGTATATACTTCGCTTTATCATTCAAAGTTACATTCTTGAATGTACATCCATTTAGTATAATATTTATTAAAATAAATATAGCAACGGAAGTTTTATACTGTAATATATGCAACAGCTCTTCGTTTCGATAAATTTAGTGCCAAATGTTTCGATAGCTCATTTGTTACAAGTATGTATGTACAATACATAGCCTACTCACTGAACATACAAAGTGTTCGACGACAATTAGTACATATTTTGAGGGGCGATTCTACAACCCAAAGTAAAACGAAAATTAAGAATAAATTAATTGCTTTTGAGACTTCGTTTCTTGGTTACTACCATTTCAAAATATCCCTGTAACCGAGCAACCCTTCCTAGTATCTTCACGTGACCCATATTCGTTGGTGTAGGGAGGTTTGCTCTGTCGCAGGGATATCTTTAATTGTTAATAACTACAAAACGAAGTCTCTAATGTAATTTTGTTATTCTTGATTTTCGTCTTATTTTGACTTGTAGAATCAACCCTTAAATTTTTTACCAGCTGTTGTCAAATACCCTGTATTTAGAACTTGTAATTTGAAAAATGGTTATAATTTTCGCTTGCTTTCTTTCTTCGTCTGCTAGAAGCATAATCTGCGTTCTTTAACGCATTTCAATTATACACATTAAAAAGAAACAAATTTAAATACGGAAATAAATTTTACACGATTTTTGTTTAAAATATTTGATTATTGAAAACACGATCCTTAAAATTTTCATTTCTATCGGGAAATTGATTGAAAGCGTACAAATTTTGTTATCAAATAAAATAAAATGATCTATAAGTTTGATATGAAGTAAAACAATAATTCACAAAGAATTTTCATTAATTCGTTATACTACTGATAACAAAGTATTAATAATATAAGTATGAACGCAATAAAATTGATTTGTAACATTCGATTTTTACGAGGACTAACAATAAGTAAAATGACGAGTTAATGTACGTCGTGTAAGTGTGAAAAGTCGAAACGGTACATGTTTGAATTATAATAAAATGCGACATGTAAACAGTATAAACAATATATGTACATATGTATAAATATGAATCATATTTATACCATGTCGTTTCCATATATTTTTAATACGATTCGATAATACTTAATTCTACTAAATTGACACGCATTTGGTGCCTCTGCGGTGAATTACTAAAAAGTAGGCAAGTGCGAATCAGATATTAAGCGATATGATATTAAATGGTATTAGATTCGATTTTCGAATTGCATACGCAATTCCAAATGCTGGTAACAGAATTAATCAGCCATATTAATGCTGCACAATTTCATTGCATTTTAATTTATCAACATGTTAAAAATTGTACGAAGTTCAAATTCCATAAAAGCTAAATTCCAAAAAATATAGAGGCTGTGTCAAATTCTTCATAGTTCCACGTGATATTCTTGCTCATTAATCACAAAATTGTTATCATTGATCGCGTTAAATATACCGGCAACTCGAACGGCCCAAAACATAAGTTAAATAAAACCGATATTTTTCGGTTGAGCATTTTACAATACTTTATACATGTTCATACATTGTTACATTAAAATGATTAAAATTATGGATTAAGTTATAGAATAATAAAACATTTGTATTTCAATGTTTTGCTTTCTTGAATTTCGCAACGGTTAAAGTAACCTATAAAATATCATTGAAAGCCCATTCCAAGCTTTGTTTGAAATAATTCGTACATGCTTAACTAAAAGATCTCATCATATTCAGTAATCCTAGTCACAATATGAAATATATAACGCTATTCAGTGATTTATTAGACAAGAAATTTTCTTACAGTTAATTTTTTAATCCAAATTCACAATTGAAGTATATGTATATATACATAATATAAAAATATCAGGATGAATTTAAAGAATGAGAAGCATCTACCATTGTTGTGGATACTTGTCAGTGCGGATCTTATAAGCAACGTTAATAATTGTAAGATAAAAACACAAACAATGATGCGCAGAAAACTTTTTGTAAGAAGCAAACTTTATTAGATGCGTCTTTATACAGTGTATATCTGCAATTAAAAAACTATATTCTTGTAACCTGTTGCAATGATAAATTCTCATGTTCTTTCATCTTTCACAATTGCCAGAATACGTATAGGATACATTGTGTATGTAACGAATGGGAGACCAACTGCTCAATTTGGTTGTCCATTATGAATTTCACGCTTCGTTAAAGTGATAAGAATCGATAGTTGAAAATATTCCCTTTGATAGTTGTAAATCATTTATAATAGTCTTCAATCAAATTCTCATCAAGTTGTAAATCGAGCATACATACATATATGAACCAAACCACTTGTTTACAATGAAGATTGATTACGATCTCGAACCTGAATCTGGTCCTACAGTATATTTGTATATACTACACTATACTGTAGTACACCATAAATTTGCTTTGCCTGTTATTATCAGGATTGTCTCAAACTTATCATTGTTACTATTATTCAACTAAATTACTCTCTCGATAGAATTATTTTCGATTCTAATATTTTATCAACCTATGTAACTTTATTATATTTGTTAATAATTTTATTGCATAATATCATATAATAGCAGACAACTGTTGGTATGACTGTTTCGAGTAAACATAACGTTTTTTAGTTGTATATTTTGATATATTTTTTGGTCAATGCAAATAAACGATTAATAATTTATAACATTATCATGGACCATTATAGAGACACTATTGAGATTATTAATGTCTCTTATTGTTATTATTACTCTTACCGCGAATATCATAATTTCCGACAATGTTATTAATCTTAGTACCGATTATACTTATTTAATTACAATCATTGTTAGTGTAATGGCTATTAATGATTACTCGTGTATCCATGTGTTACATGTAAGAAGAAATACTTTCCAATAAACACGGGGTATACTTAGTGGAGGTGCTACAGTGTGGTCGTAGAAGCGTACGACCTTACTATAGCTCTTCCATCAAGTATATGTACCTATCAAATTGGATTGGCAGGAATTATATTATATTACCTATATTTTATTTTTATTCATATCTTTTATCGCAAACATACGTTGCGGATATTTTGTTGCAACTAAACAGCAATTGATGCTAAGGATCTCAAATTAACTAGGATATGCATCTTATAAAACAAGAAAATCAAATACTTAGATACATAACGAAAAATACACATGCTCTTATTATATATAAGTTTTGAGATCTAACGTAGACGATATTGTACATACAACTATATAGTATCATACAGTATAGTATCATAATTGCGTAAACATTTTGAAAACGTCACTTTTAATTTACAATTAGACAATTAAATATATCGAATATGGTAGATCCCTTGAAATGTTTACGTACACGTGCATACAGTATGACCGCTAGCAATAGACTAATTGTTAGACATATAGCGAAGACGAACGTTTCGTTATTGAAACGTTTTATAAAGCTGCGATTTTTATAAGACATAATGTTTACAGAATACAATAATCTAAAGGAATTTAATTTAAAACGATTAATGTGATTTTCTTTCGTTTTCTCACGTGTATACACTTAGATATACCCTATGTACATACAAATCTACTTATGTACCGAAAATACAGTATAAAATTATTGCTCCATTCATTATGATTCGTTCTAATTTTTTACAACGATTCTTACTTCCTTTACCTCCCAAAAAAAATTTAACTGTTATCATTACAATCCTAAGTATTACTTGTTTGTACATCAAAAATACAAAATCATTATCTGAAAATTGTGTGGAAAATTGCAGAGGAAACTATGTGAAGTATGAATGATGTCATCGAACATGCGTGTGTATGTCTCTAATATGAAATGTGCGTGGCAGTGAAAGACCCATAAAACTATGTTTTACACAAATCCTACTTATTAATTTTCTTTACCCATTATTCACCTTATAAATTTTGAACTCTTTTTCAAAAATATCCTGTGTATCATTCATTTCTTTAGATTCAGATGAAAAATTTATAAACTACATTGTGAAATATTGCGTTTGAAATATATCGTTTCGAGTAAATTGAAAAAAAGAAGTTAAGAAATTTTTAATAATTCGTTTTTCAAGATCATTTTTAATATTCATATTGTGAAACGAAAACCATGATCTTTGCTACGACACTTCCCGCAAAAATCGTATGGTGATAGAACTCCATGCTTAAATCGAGTTCAATTTCCTGTGGGCCTTGTATGCTTTGGGTCAATACCAAAACAGCTTCGGTTGGCGATGGCCTTTTTAAAGCGAAACAAGATTCTGTAGCGCGTTGCACGCCAGGTGGAGCGCGTGCATCCAGAAACGCCATGCTGAATTGTATCGCCGAACCTTGTTGATGGTATGCTGTCATTTTGAATAAGTTCTCCGGCTCGTTCGGCGCAATTGGTAACATGCTCACAAGGGTGATGAAATTGTACGAATAATGCGACGGTTGTTTGAAGCAAGCTGGATTGTCGTAGTGACAAGGCCATGATCTCACGCATCGGCTGAAATTTCGATATTTTATCAGAAATATTTGTAGTATTAACTTTTTTTTTTTTTTTTTTTAACAAAAGGTCGCCTTACTTTTTCTTAACATGATCACGGTGATATCCCGAAGGACAATTTATTCTATTGCAACGGAAACCACCTCTGGTATTGTGACAAATTTCATCTTGACCTCTGCAAACTTGTCCTGTCCTACACTCGTCGATATCTTCAAAAAAAGAAAAACCGAAAGAACGGTGTTCAGTCTGACAAAAATAACGGCAATCGTACATTATGATCATAAGAGTTTCAAGAGCACGAGAAACAATTTGAAATTCAACTAATGGCCTAGATTTTCGATGACTAGGTCAAGTACAAATTTTATTACGTAATTGCAGGATAATGGAGGTGAAACACGCGTTAACAAACGGTTAAGCGCACGTACGGTTCATATACTGTTTCACCACTTAAATCTGTCAATCATTTATAAAATATTTGCATAATCATTCTGCTTGAAATTTTTACTTGAAAAAATTAATTGAAAATTAAATAAAAAAACTAATTTTGTTAAT